CTGCTAAGTTATTCCATTTTAGCAAAGTTCCTTTGCTTCTGCAAAGTTTTTACAATTTCTGCAACTTTTCAGCTTTTTCAGCTAGTTTTTGCATACAGCTTCAGCTTTAAAGCATCCACACTGCATTTTCGCAGGAAATGCAAATCTTTCTAGTTACTCTTTATTGTTACATCCTGATGGTATGGTTCTTTAGATTAACTATGTTGTAGCAATGATGACTGGCAATGCTCTGACACGTCAGAAATGAACTAAAGACTTTTTAACGTTTTTGGTGGCTTACACAAAATGTTGTAATGTTAGGCTACTCGAGTATAGATCAATATATTTTGTTTGTGTTGTAAATTCTTCGTTCTACCTGAGCTTCTTTTCCTACGAGCTATTTATCTCTTCTGCATGAGAAAAAATATCAGTTTTCTCCTTTCATTTTTCCTGCACAAATGTTTTTTTAAATGTATGAAAGTATTATCTGAGCAAAGTAGTTGCAGAGAATGAACAGAACAGTAAATCAAACCTACCCAGTACAGTGATGGTTGAAAGCTGAGATGTTTGAGATCTCAGATCTCAGTTTTGCTGTTAAAGGCCTGACAGCTGTAGTTTCCACTCTGACTCATCTGAACATTCATCAGTCTGAGCTCTGATCCAGTATCAGGCAGCTGATCTCCATTCAGAAACCAGTTAAAGTGGGCAGGAGGTCTGGATCCAACCGAGCAGGTGAGGCTGATGTCTGACCCCACAGCAAAGTATCCTTGTGGAGAAGATGAGATCAAATTGATATTTTCTGGACCATCTAAATGTAGAAGGAACATAGAAAAGTTACGTTGGGTTGATGAAAAATGTAAAAGTATATTAAATTCAGTTTTTCTTGTTAAATCGCAAAAGTATTTCACACAACTACATTGCTTCACATCATGTCAACAGAAAAAAAGATCTCATCCATCTTTTATTCAGCTTATCAGACATATCTAATATTCTGAAATCTAAAATGATGTCTAAACACTCTGATGCTTGTGTGCAGATGTTTTCAGATAAATTACTGAGCATTTACTTTAGTAACTCACAGCTGATGGAGAGGTTTACTGGATCACTGGTACCAGTACTGACAGGATTGGACACACGACACCTGAATGGTCCCTGGTCAAAGCGGGTCACAGTGATTATAGTCAGACTGGAGCCTCCATCAGTGAGCTGAACTCTGTCACTTGCTGTAACCTCAGAGCTGCCGTTCAACCAGAGGAAAGAGAGAGAGGATCCAGAGGCAGAGCAGGACAGAGAGACAGAAGCACTGAACTCAACCAAGTCTGTGCTGCTGGAAGTTACCAACACATTGGAGACTTTCTCTGTGAAAGAAAAACAAAATAGTTTCATTGTTGGCATCAACAATAGAAAATAAGCATTGAAACAACAAACAAACCATGTCATGTTAAGGAGGATATATTACATACACAATCTAAAAATACAGAATATCAATAATTGAAAGAAATACTGTACCAATCAAAATCTTGAAATATTTTTATTTGTATAAATAAATAAATCAACTCCCTTTAAGTGACTATTCTGAACAGAATAAATGAGACAGTTGAGTTCTCAGCTTGTTCTTTACAATATGCTGGTCAATACTACATTTAAATAAGCCATTCAGTTTCTTACAGCCACTTTGTAAAGTTTGTAATATCACAATCTGAATAATATCACAAATTATTGAAAGAATGCAGAACAAAACATAACAAAAATGTACTAATAATTACAGGTATTTTTGCACGTTTAATATAATGTAAACTTGTTTAAATATTGCAGAAAAAATTACACTGTTGGATTTCAAGATCTGCTCACCGTGTATCTCCAAAGTTGTACGTCCAACAGGGTTTGTGCCATCAGCTTGTACAATGCTAACACTGTATTCTCCAATGTCATCCAGAGTGAGACTCCTGAGCTCCAGAGACCCAGTAGATGGGAAGAAGGTGATCCTGCCTTCATACTCTGGTCCAGTATTGTTTACCAAGTTAGTTGAGGTTATTATATTCTTAGAGATATTTAAGTTCCAGTTCACAGACAGAAATGGTGTTTCTGTTGGAGTCAGTGTTGTGGTGAACATCACCTTTTCTCCTACAGCTGCATTCAGTGGACCATCAGGCAACACACCAGCTCCTTCAGTGAAAACTGCAGGAGACAAATAGAAAACTACATAAAACATATGTCAGTCAAACAAATAAAACAATTGTGGAAAATACGCAATGAAATACGGCAAAGCTGCGGAGTTCACCTTATTTTCATTAGAGATTGAGCTTTTTCAGATAATACTGTACATATTTCTGATCGAGTTTCAAGAACTCACTCAGTAAACGTGTGGTTATTAAAACAGCTAACCAGCTCTTGCTTTCAGTGAATTGCTGCTTCTCTAAGTCTTTGGCAAACATCCAAAGGAAAATATAACCTTTTGTAAAGAGACCATAAGCTCTACTGAACATCATCATTTTTGAGACTTACCTGCAAATGCCACTAAGACAATAAGAAGCTGTAGTAACAAAGCCATTAATTAAATATCTGTGAAGAGTGCAGCTAGGAATGTTCAACTATCAAACTGACCACGAACCTACTGACTCAATATGGTAAATGAAACTCTACTTAACCCTTTAAACCCTTAAGTATTAACAAGGTGCAGTGTCAGTTTCACATGCAAGTAGAGTCATAGACTTTTTTATAAGCTGATCCACTAGAAAACTTGCACGATGCCTCCCTCATGTGGTGTAACTGTGTAAGCACTTAATAATGGCCCAGCAGACTGTTACTGTTGTTCGCAGAATCCCAGACGAGCCATCAGGCTTTTCTGAAATGCTTATCCAACTAAGAGTCACACACATAAGAGGCTCAAAAGTGTAATAATCTAAGTTGTGATATGTCAGAGAAACAAAAACAAGACACTATCACAGAAGACAAGATCAGAAACTGTATTTCATGATTGACACTTTAAAGACCTTGTGCATGAGCAGAAGGATTTTAAATTTGATTCTGGATTTAACAGGGAGCCAGTGAAAGGAAGCCAATATAGGTGAAATATGCTCTCTCTTTCCTAGTCCCTGTTGGTACTCTCACTGCAGCTTTTTGGATAAACTGAACGTTGTTCTGGGAGTTCTGAGGACATCTTGACAATAACAAGTTACACTAGTTCAGACTAGAAGTAATAAATAAAAATTCTAAATAAAAATACAAAGCTGCCTCCGGCTGCATCAGCTACAGAGGCCTGGCTAGCTATGGTTTTTTTTTTTTTTAAATACTCTAAAGAGTATTTAAAAGTAGAATGGGAGGGAGAGCCTTCAGCTTTCAGGCCCCTCTTCTATGGAACCAGCTTCCATACAAGGGGTTTGGGAGACAGACACTATCTTTACTTTTAAGATTATAGGCTTAAAACTTTCCTTTTTGCTAAAGCATATAGTAAGAGCTGGATCAGGTTATCCAGAATCCTCCCTTAGTTATGCTGCAATAGGTGCAGGCTTCTAGGGGATTCCTATGATGCATTGAGTATTTCTTCTTCAGTCACCTTTCTCACTGACTATGTGTTAATAGACCTCTCTGCACTGAATCATTACTGGTTATCAATCTCTGGCTCTCTTCCACAGCATGTCTTTTATCCTGTCTTCCTTTTCTCACCCCAACCGGTCACAGCAGATTGCCACCCCTCTCTAAGCTTGGTTCTGCTGGAGGTTTCTTCCTTCCCACTGTCGCCAAGGTGCTTGCTTAAAAGGGTCATATGAGTGTTGGGGTTTACTGTACGGTCTACCTTATAATATAAAGCGTCTTGAGGCTACTGTATAAATAAAATTGAATTGAATTGAAGTTTTTATAAGGATTGTGGCTCAAAGTTTAAGTATACCATCAGTCTACAAACTGACTTCTTACGAAACTGATCCATGTTATCTGAGCAGGAAAAACGTATTCCTGTGTGCAATATTCAGGTTACACATAGTTAAACATGAACTAGAAGCATTCAACAGATATATCAAAGACTGCAATATAATGTTATTCAAACAAATTATTTGAGGACATATTAAAAGTAAAAATTAGGAAGTAAAACTTTAAAGTAATATGAGCAGACAGAGTTTTTTCTGCTTCATCAAGCACTGAAAGCTCACCTGAGATGGAACTGAAAATGAAGAAGTATATCAGATGTATATCAGAAAATGTTTCCATTTCTAAAGCAGTCCTTCACTCTTTGCCTTTTCCTTTGCTGATACCAGTACATGAATGTTCATTCAGTATATAGTGTCATAAGGAAGTAACATTGTTATTCTGAAAGGTTAAACTTCCTGAACTTGTTAATCATTAACACAGCTTTCTATCAAATGTTTGTTGTTTTCTTCTGTACTGTAACAGCAGTCCAATATGGAGGTGTCACTTGGAAGAATTCAACATGATTTATTGTCAGACAGAATTTGCAAGAATGGAATCTATTTGCCAATTAGGCTCCAATGACCCATCAAATCAAATCAAATCACTTTTATTGTCACATCACATGTGCAGGTACATTGGTACAGCACATGTGAGTGAAATTCTTGTGTGCGAGCTTCACAAGCAACAGAGTTGTGCAAAATACAATAATGTAAACAAGCAAAATACAAGAATGGCTACATCTGAAACTAATAAATATATGTACAATATATAATAGTATATGCATTTCTGGATGTGTATACTAAATATTTTTCTACGTGTGTGTGTGTGTGTGTGTGTACACATATTTTACAAATTAAATAGAGTAAACAATAAATAAAATATATAAAAATATACAGAGTTGAGACATGTGCAAAACAGTGGCATTACTGTACAGTATGGAGTGCATAATGTTAAAGTTCCAGTAGTGAAGCTGAGGTGTCTATGACGTGTTCAGCAGTCTGATGGCCTGGTGGAAGAAGCTGTCTCTCAGTCTGCTGGTTCGGGACCGGATGCTGCAGAACCTCCTTCCTGATGGAAGTAGTCTGAACAGTTTATGGCTGGGGTGACTGGAGTCCTTGATGATCCTCCCCGCTTTCCTCAGGCAGCGCTTCCTGTAGATGTCTTGGAGGGAGGGAAGCTCACCTCCAATTATCCGTTCAGAGCACCGCACTACTCGCTGGAGAGCTTTGCAGTTGTAGGCGGTGCTGTTGCCATACCAGGTGGTGATGCATCCAGTGAGGATGCTCTCAATGGCACAGTGATAGAAGGTCCTGAGGATGCGGGGGCTCATGCCGAATCTTTTCAGTCTCCTGAGAAAGAAGAGGCGCTGCTGCGCCTTCTTCACTGTTTTGTTTGTGTGTACTGACCACGTAAGATCCTCAGCCAGATGTACACCAAGGAACCGGAAGCTGCTCACTCTCTCCACAGCAGCGCCGTTGATGGTGATGGGGGTGTGTACTTCTCTGCACCTCCGGAAGTCCACTATCAACTCCTTTGTCTTTGCGACGTTGAGGGTGAGATGGTTGTCTTGACACCAGTGGGTCAGGGCGCTGACCTCCTCCCTGTAAGCCGTCTCATCACCGTTGGTGATAAGACCCACCACTGTAGTGTCGTCCGCAAACTTCACAATGATGTTGGAGTTGTTAGTGGCTGTGCAGTCGTAGGTGTAGAGTGAGTACAGGAGAGGGCTCAGTACACACCCCTGTGGAGCACCAGTGTTCAGTGTGACGGGGGATGAGGTGATGCTGCCCAGTCTGACCACTTGGCGTCTGTCAGACAGGAAGCTAAGGATCCAGCTGCAGAGGGAGCTGCTCAGTCCTAGATCCTGCAGTTTCCTGTCCAGCTTCGAGGGAACGATGGTATTGAATGCTGAGCTGTAATCTACAAACAGCATTCTCACATACGTGTCTCTCTTCTCCAGGTGTGACAGGGCAGTATGTAGTGTCAGGGCTATGGCATCATCAGTGGACCTGTTGTGGCGGTATGCAAACTGTAGAGGGTCCAGTGAGTCGGGTAGTGCAGAGACGAAGTCCCTAAGTTTATACCCTGGAGTGATAAGATTAGAGATGGCACGATACCACTTTTTATGTCCGATACTGATATCATAAATTTGGATATCTGCCGATACTGATATGAATCCGATATAGTGTTTTTTAATCAATAAAACTGTTTTTTTAATATATTGCTGCATTTTGTATAAGTTCATACTCAAATTTAAAAAACAAACACTAAAGCTATTCTGTTATACCTGTATGCAAAAAATACACTGCACCCAAAATATTATAGTTCAGCAATACTGAATCACATTATTTTGTAATGCCTTGGTGCCACTGGATTTTAACATGTCTGACACTCATACGTAAGACAAATGGTAGGGGGTGTAGTAAGGATGTTGGGGGAAACAGGAACTCCACAGGAAGAGTCTTTTGTCTCTTCGAGGA